TCCGATGATGTTTCGGACGTCAGTCTGAGCGAGATTAGAATGGATATCCAGCACCTTAAAAACGGCAAGGCCCCAGGCGAAGATGGAATAACAGCGGAGCTTCTGAAATCGGGTGGAAAACCGGTACTTGTAGTCCTCCAGAAGCTCTTTAATTCTGTCCTCCATGGTGGCACTACACTGGAGGCGTGGAACAGAAGTGCGCTAGTCTTGTTCTTTATGAAAGACGACAACGCTCGCTTGAAGAACTACAACCCGATATCCCTTCTGAGCCGCGTCTACGTGCTTGTTTTCGAGAATCATTACGAATCTTCTCGCATGCAGACTCGACGACGATTTTCAGCCTCCCGAACAAGCCGGTTTTTGAAAAGGCTTTAGCACCCTAGACCACATACATATCCTTCGGCAAATTGTACAGAAGTCCGAGGAGTACTATTTGCCACTATGTCTGGCGTGTGTGAACTATGAGAAAGCCTTTGATTCCGTCAAAATATCGTCGAAATGTCGGTATATCGAAGAGCGGAAGTGCTTATACAGTATGGCTACGATGGCTATCCGAGTACAGAACCAAAGTACGAAACCTACCCAACTGCAGATAGAGGTGTAAGACAGGGTGACTTTATATCCCGAAACTGTTCACCGCTGCATTAGAAGACGTTTTCAAGCTACGGTCCTGGAAAGGATACGGTATCAACATCAACAGCGAGTACATCACTCACCTTCGATTTGCCTTATGGCAGAATCGCTGGAGGACCTAAGCACTATGCTCAATGACCTCCATAGTGTCTCCCAACGGATAGGTCTAAAGATGAACATGGTCAAAACGAAGATTATGTATGACGTCCATGTCACACCTATGCCGGTAGTTGTTGGGTGTAAGCTCGAAGTTGTTGACGAGTATGTTTACTTGGGACAAATAGTCCGACTAGGTAAGTCCAACTTTGACCGAGAGGTCAATCGGCGAATTCAACTCGGCTGGGCAGCGATCGGCAAAATTATGGCACATCTTCTCGTCACGTATACCTCAAAGCTGGAATACTAGACTGTGCAACCAGTGCCTGCTGCCAGTGATAACCTATTGAACTGAGACGTGGTCGAGAAGCTCAAGGTCGCTCAGCGAGCTATGGAGAGGGCTATGCTAGGAGTGAGGATATCCGCACTAGAACCAGAAATTATTCCATCAAAACAAATTAAGCCTAAACATTTATATCATTAATGGAGATGTAAACAAGGCTATTCAAAAAATAAACAGAAAGTTCCGAAGAAAAATAACGATAGCTTACATGCTAAAAATTTCTCACACTGGCTTCTTCTAGGAACACTCCGGTGGCTATTAATCATTATTTGTTTACTTTGGATTTTTGCTCTATCTGCTTCTTATGTCTTGTTTGTACAATGTTGTTTATATATAAAACTCTATGGTTGCACATTTAAATAGAAATATAAATCGTTATTATATTTGCGGTAAAATTTTTTTTTCTGCTAATGTATCGTTGTAAACGTTTATCCGTGTGTATAAAATTTTACACTAAGAAAAATATTTATGCCGACTTTACGTTTAAGTAATAAATATTAATAATATAGTATTTAAATTAGTAATTATGTTCAGATCTTTGGACCCAAAAATACTCCTACATGTACATTGACAATACAATTTATTTACGAGATTCTATTTTTAAAAAGGAGTCAAATATTGTTTGTTATTCGATGCCGACTCAGGCCATATTTATGAAGGAGATAAGGACAAGTGGAGGACATAGACACTAGTGGTACACACGATAATGAGGGATCCATGCGATTTATTGCTTTTGTTCCAACTTATGCCACCTAATAAATAATGCCTGGGGAAAATAATTTCACCAGTGTCTTTGAACTCTGTCAACGACTTAGTTTCTTTTGCGATGTTCACGCGCGATTCGTCACTCGAAATACGAGTAAGACACAATTGTACGTATATACGAATTGTTTTCAACACCACGCATAATGTTTATTATATATTTTTTATATAATACTAGCTGGCCAGACAGACTTTGTTGTACCCTTTCCGACGACCCTTTGTCCTTTAAAAAATCTTCAAATTTGCTATAAAAGTCTTGAGTGTCACTTTTCGTGATAAAAACTATCCTATCTCTCAAGTTAGAGCAAGTATATTATACGTGGTAGAGCCATGCTGCAGCTATATTAATAGTATATATATATATATATATATATATATATATATATATATATATATATATATTAATAGAGAACAGGAGACCCTTTTTACTAGCAACGAGGTATTCCATCTTAGTCCTCACGGGTGACAACGTATCTGCGTTTTGGTTCGCAAACGTGGATAAATGTATATGTCTATGGGACACAGCAACTACTTACCATCAGGAGGACTGTGTTCTCGTTTGTCACCCTTATACTATAAAAAAAAGTAATACACATTAATAAAATTTTATTAAAACCGGTTGTGTGGTTTTGAAATTCATCGCAGATAATGTGCACGTAATCTTTATATATAAAAATTACGTGTCACGTTGTTTGTCCGCGATGAACTCCTAAACTACTGAACTGATTTCAATGAAATTTGCACACTCTGTGCAGTTCGGTTCAACTTGAGAAATAGGATAGTTATTATCCCCCTAAGTGACTCAAGATTTTTTTTATTGTGAATTTACGGATTTTTATAGGAAGGAGCGTCGGAAAGGGCAGAACAACGTCTGCCTGGCCAACTAGTTTTTATATATAAAGAAGATTATGCTGGGACGCACTCGTCTTTATAAATATCAAGTCAAATGCCCATAAATCAATTTCAAAACTATTTTATTCATAATAACTTACAAATGTGAAAAACACTTTAATTGAAAGCAAATTATGTATAAACAGTAATTGTTCATATCTTGCAATTATATAAAATCGAACGTATAACATATACTATAGTTATACGTATATTATAATTATAAGGTATCGGAAATTAAAGCTTTGAATTTTATTTAATCAACTTAATAAGTCTTAATTCAGCACATAGAATTTATGGTTAAGGTAAAAAAAAAACTGTTATTTCAGCTGCATATGAGATTATTGATTAAGATATGTTTTTGTTGTTTTTTGTGTACTCACACTGCACAAACAACCCTTGTCTATCTATACTCTGCCGTCGGTCATTGGGCTATATTTAGATAGGTTCGAGAACACTCGATCCCTTAATTTTACATATTATCTATATATGTATAGTAATAGTGTCTATTATGTATTAATTTACGCTCGTATTATCATTGAGCCATTAGAATTTACAATAAAATTATTTAATCTAGTTAGTGTACACCTGGACATGTTTCAATTTAGATGCATCTGATTAAATGTTACGAAAAATATAGGTATGTATGTGAAATATAGTAATGTCAAATAAATATATTACTATATCGTCAGTCGTAATGAGACGTTATTGGGTGCGCGCTGTTGCCAGGGTGGCAGCAGCCGGGTGGGCCGCGGGGTGTGAAGTATGCGGCGCGGGGGGGCGGAGGGATGGCCGGCCGGTGAACCTCGCCTGTCGAAATCAATACAGCTGCTCCCTGCCTGCGCTCGTCTGGAGTCCGTTGCCATAGCAACGCGCCCAGATCATTCACGCTGTCCGCCCGCGCTCTGCAATAAACACAAAAGCATTAGCTCTTTGTGAATAAGTACAAGTGATGAAGTGTAATCGTTTTGAATGCGTTTTTACAATTGCGTTTTAGTTGCACTTAAATTTTTTGCCTTTTTGGAAAATATGCTCGCGACTAAATCTTAAAACACACGGTAAAACTTAGGCCTTATATTAAATAAGGTCCATGGAAATATGATGATATTTCTTTTTCAAATATCTTTCGCCGTAGCAAATCGTATATTCCCTAGATAAACTTATCGACCAGCCATAAATTTCTTGAAATTTATAATTAAACGAATAATTCTCAGTATTGTTGATTTAATTCCAACATATCTCAACTACAAACATCACATTCGTCGTATTCAAAGAACGCCACGGTTACATTCAAAGTACAGAACAATGCATCTACCCGAGCTCTGTACTGTGATGCAACAAAGACAAAGAGCGGGGACGACGCCCCCGCTAGCCGCATGCCGTGACACAATCCCACCCCTTTGCCTCCAAGGTTGCACCCGGAACCCCGCGCCCGAGTCCATTGTTCCGGACATAGCATCTTATCATTACTTCGAACGCTCTTATCGTGCAGTTTTCAAAATAACCTGTTGTTGTCCTCACGTGTTTGTGAAAATGTATCCAATTCGATAATTGATGTTCTTCAACCACTTGCTATTACTCCTCCGCTACATATCGATGTCAACTATCTCTGGAAACACAGTGTTAAGAAATATTATCATCAATCATAGTATATACCTATTATGTTTAAGTTTTAAGCTATAGATAATAACGAAAAACGCTTGTGGCGATATTTAGAAATACATGAATAAAATTCAATGATTTTCTATATCGCTTTAATGCCGTAGAAATAGAAATAATGTCTGTTGAAACGTCAAGTATAACTTTATGGTTGATTATTAATCCTTAAAAAAACAATATAGCATAGCATGTATTTTGCGAATGCGAGAGAAAGCCAGACAGCGAAATAATTAACGTATAATGTAATGTAATATGCTGTATGCTATGTAGACAAGAAGATTAAATTCGGCAACATCTTTTAACGGGCCTAATGAAGATAAAGTAGATGTGCTTACTAAGTAAATAGTAAATACATTTCATGGTCGCTCACGTAACGTCGATACGTAAATAATTTTAATACAAAATCCATTAGACAAGCCTTTATGAATGTATTTTGAAACCGATTTTATGTCCTTGAATGACTAAATTAATCATCGTCTACTTTTAATACCACGATCGATCTACTTGCAAATTAAGCGGAAGTGTTAAAAAATATACTACAAATACAGTCAGTTGCTATTATTGTAGTGCAATTCCAGAACGAGTAATAGTTGTTATAAACTTGTCATGTTTTTCACAGAATGTGGACCACAAGGCCAAATTCCGATCCAAAAAAGGCCAACTACCATTCGTTGAGCTGAATGGTGAACAGATTGCTGACAGCACTTTTATCATCAAGATGCTCTCCGAAAATTTCAACAAAGACCTCGATGCGGGTAAGCAACGCTTTGAATAATTTTTTTTTTTAGTTTATAAGTACTATGACAATAAACATGGCCTTTCGAATATTTTTAAATTTTATCAGTGTAGTTTATGTTAGCACGAAGTCCTATTAATTATTAATCAACTTTATAAATAATAAAAATCTTTGTTCCTTATTAGCTATTGTGATTTTATTTTTGATTTAGTATTACGTACTTGTTCATTAATCTAGTTCAGGCTATTTTCTTTATCTTCATATGTCTGTTAAGGTCCGCTGTACAACGACCTCTTCCGTTAAATGGATCAATTTGCCTTAATCGCCACTCTTAGAAGACGGATCTGCAGTGCGGTACATTTTGCACTTTGCAAGTCTAGGAATGCTATGTCAACGATATACGGGCTAATACCGCCACTTATTAAATAACTGAACTTTCTAGCTTAAAGAAAATCGTATGTTTTCTTGTAATTACCCCTGGAACCAAAATGGGCTAATAATACATTTTTTACTCCGCTACAATACCGACAGTCTTTTTATAAAATATATTATAGTTACTTTTAGACATATGATATAATTTGATTCTATATCCGATTTATGGTTATTGGTAGAAAAATCATTCGACGTTAGCAACAAGCTCGGGCCGGTGCATCATATAATCAATACGCATCATTAGAACCCCGGCGGGTCCTCTTTCATAACCCGGGCGACCTAAATTTTAAGCAACCTGGATAGTGTTAGGGCTTCGCGCATGTGCATTCGAAAAGCCGCGCGCCGTTTATTTGCACTATTATTCATGTTCTATTTTATTTAGCCTTAACGCCAGAGCAGCGGATGGTCACGCACGCAATGGTCTCCATGATAGAGAACCATCTATCGTGGGTCATCATGTGGTGGCGCGCGAAGTATCCGGACAGTGTCCTCAAGGGCTATCAAGTGAATTTGCAAAACGCTCTCAACACTCGTCTGCCGAATTCGATCTTGAATTTATGCTACAAGCTCACTAGCGGACGTAAGGTACGTTGAACTTTTTACATATTTCTACGTTTTACTTTTCTGTGTAAAAATGTATAATTCTGAAATAATATATATTTCTGTTTATTTTAAAGCACCTGCGCCCAACATTGAGATATATTATGCTGAATCTACTTTTTTTTTTACTTTTCTGCAGTGTATTTTGTGCATAATGCCAAATTGTTGACTGTTATTGTTTACAATGACGGCGTGTTTTGATAATCTCGTTTGGTAACGGACAGTTTTATGTGGGCGTCAGTTTTCTACTTGCACCGTATTCCATTTGTCTATGCCTTATCGTTGGTCTATTTTTAGTTTGTCGGGTGCTTGACCTCTTTGACTTTCGTAACGTAACGATTATGAATATAAAGGGTTTGAAATATAGTTAAAAATTAAGCTAAGTAAGGACACGTGGGTAAAGAAACCGCACCGGTAAGGGTGAGATTTGTCTGGTACCGATCTAAAGTGAACTAGCTCGACGATAATTTATCCGTGCGAATCGGCAATTTCTAAAACAGATAGCATTTTCCACGCATTACGAACACACAGTCCACCTTATGGTAAGTAGATGCTATGTCACATACATACATCATCGATTAAGAATCAAAATGCAGATGTAGTTGCAGGGTATTAATGGTGCAGTAAGAATTGGTCGGCTCAAATGTGGGGAGAACCAACTTGTAGTAGCGTAATGCTGTTGTGTTTCGTATGATGAATGACGTCAACCAAAGACTTTCCATTGCTGACGAGGCGTTCCATATTAGTTCTAGTTCTTTTATTTCCCTTAGATAGATGCAAGTGTACCAGTAAAACATGTTTTTTTGTTTTATATTTGGTCTAATTTGTTTTAATCCGAGTCTGCCAATATTACAATAGGACCGAAAGTCATAGGACACTGAAGGAAAACATACATAGTAAGGACACCTGTCCTTACTATGTTTTTCTTCACTGTCCAGAACTAAATCAGCACTTAAAATTGCAATTTCATGGCATAGGTAGGGAGTGCAGAGTGGAATCGAACCCGGTTTGCTCAATTTACGGTAATAGCGAGCTACCACTGCTTATGAACATAGACACTTATCTCATATGTATATTGTTTTGTGTGTAATAGATTGTTAAATAAAGTACCTATATAAAATTGTATTTCACGTTGCACGATATTCCTCATAAATTGTACGAACTCGACTCAAGTGGCCAATTCTAAAGTTGATTTGCATAGAGTAATGAAGCAAACTTGGCATCAAAGTTGTGGCGTTTGAGACTAGGTACGACTTTATTTTATTATTTGTGGTTAGTATTAAATTACTAAATCGTGAAGCACACTAATAAGAACCGTAGCGGAGGAGTAACACAAACTAATCTAAAAGAAAAATTTCGCCCAACTTTGACTACGATAGAGTCCGAATGTACGTACAATCTTTAATCAGGTACTAAAAGTACGGTGACGTCGAGAATTTGAAGTTTCTAGAAATGTAGTGATGTAAAATCGAATAAAAAAATCAGTTCAATATTTTAATAGATATACCGCTAAATGTGAATTTTAACCCGGCTTCAACTACTTCTTCCACTTTCTTTATCTATTATTGATTTTAACTTTAATTCTTTAAATACTTTAGGGTATGAAGAAGGCCAAGGCCCACGGCATTGGTGTTCACAGCCAGGAAGAGATCATAGAGTTCGGCAAGAACGATCTCCGTGTGCTCTCTGATCTGCTGGCCGACAAGCCGTACTTCTTCGGCGATGAACCAACGCTGGTGAGTTGCACTTACAATAATATGTCATCATTTCTTGCATCTTTTAGCATATTGTCATTGTTAGCCACATGAGTTTAAACCAGATTTAATGGATACATTTTCAAGATATGCTTAATAAAATTGGATTAAGTACTGAATTTTATTAGTTCTCCCAGAATAGTTGAAGCTTTGATAAGATCGATCTGACTTAAAACCTGGTCAAAATTGTACTAAAAACTAATTAGCATTACGATCCGATTAAGTAAAGTTTGTCAAATGTTTTGTTTTGTCAACAGTTGGATGTGGTAGCCTTCGCTAATATCGCCCAACTTCACTTCATCGACAAGGAGGTCCCACATCCTCTGCGCGACGCGCTGAACGAATCCTTCCCCAACTTGGTTGGTCTGGTCACCCGCGTCAAGGAGCGCGCTTTCATAGACTGGGACGACATCTGCCGGACGCTCGACTTAAACGCACATCTGCCCAAGCCGAAGGATCAGAGCAAGGACACTAAAGAGGGCTCCGCACCCGCTGAAAAGCAACCATTGCCTGACGAACCTGAGAAAGGAAAGGTGAGACATTTATTTTTGATGTCAAATTTTAACGAAAAAGAACCTTAAAAATAATCTAAAATGTTTACGTTAAAAGCATTTATAAAGAAGTATTTTATTTTTATTATAAAACAAATCTAAATATATTATTTAGATATATATTTTATACTAAATCTATTTCTAGGGCGATGAGAAAGAGAAGGAGCAGGAGAAGGAACCAGAAGATAAGGAGGAGAAGTAAATGAAAGCTTACGTCGCGCCCAGACGTAGTACTCAAGGCGAAACGCATTGCAACGCCCGACTGTACATTAACAAGTATTATAATGTGGGGAATACGTTTCGCCCGTCGCGTCGTAAGAACAAGTTGCATTAAACACTAGAGTCAGACTCGTAATAGATTCTGTATAATAAAAGCGTGTAAATCCATTTGTCTTTCCCGTTATTTTCAGTTGTTGACGGCCGCGTACGTCGTTGCATTGCCGTGTCTTTACGTTCCGATTTATTATCTTTATTTAATAAACTTATAATATATATAAATTTATATATTTTGCTCGATGGCTTATTGTGTAAATCGAAACGTTCCGTTTGGCTGATTTTCTGATTTGTTAAATGTCAAGCTTAGAAATGTTTTATTGAAATTGGTTATCTATTCGCATATATGTGTCTTTAATTTTGTGGTATTAAATTAGATATTAAATTAATCGAATGTTAAGGTACTTACAGGATTAGATAAACGTTTATTCAGATGAATTATATAGTATATAGTAGGTACGTATGTGCACCGATGTGACGTAGTAAGTGTGTTTAGAAGATTTTACCTTTCCTCTATAACGGATTGTAATTATCTTTTGAATTATTAAGGGAGCGTTTCATGACGAAATATGTAGGATTCATAATTAACATAATATATTACGATGTTTAGATACTCAGTGGCATTCATTAACTCAGATAACGTAGCGTTTTTAGTAGATTCTACTTGTTGTGAAATATTTTATCTAAAAAACGTTAAGTCTTAGTCTACTCGATACCAAAAATTGGCTGAACCCTCATATAAATAGGTTCGTATTGGGCGATTGTCATTTGGTCTTTTAAACGGAACAATGTCGTGTTTTTGACTGTTTTAATATTCCTTGTGCTTGGGTTTTAACATTATTGAAAAATTTACAATTTACAAATTTTTTATAACGAAAAAAAAAACGAAAAAGCCTGTAAGACTGTTTTTTCATATAATTGTATAATTCATAGTCCGTAATGTTTTGATATTGTATTAATTATTAAGAATAATCATTAAATGTATTCGATATATACACACCTATATATATGATATAGTCGTGCGGGGATGGTAAAAATATGTTACTAGCCGTCATTGTTACGTCCAGCTACCATCATCATACCACCATTCACCGTTCTAACATTAATCTAAAAACAACGCAAATACAGCACAATTTCCAAAATCCCATTTTGACATGAAATAATTTGTGATTACGTACATTCGGGCACTGAAACAGGCTTATAAAATTTAATAATCATTCCAAATTGCGTCCGCCATTTTAAGATTCAAGTTCCCGCCATTTTGTTGTCAGATCTATAATACTCATCATTTGAAACTTTGATGGCAGTGCGCGGTGTCGAGACTTGTGAATGTTGGATTGTTGGCTAGTTTAAATTGAGATTGTAAGTCGCATGGCTGGCTTTACGCTTCGCCTTTCAAAGTTTTACTATCCGGCGATCCGAGTGCGTTTTAAATAAATTTCTATCGTATAATGTTCATAACCATTCCGTATTTAACATCCCCTTTAACGACATTAGTATATTATTGTATTTTCTTAGGTCTTAGGTCGCATGCGCATTGTGCGATTTATAACTGTCGAATATTAACGCGATGTTCATCGATACGACTTTAACGTTCGACGGCTGTAAAGCGATGTTCACAATGCGTTGCAGATCATAAGTTAAAACGTATAATATAATTATAAATTATTAGTCAATATGGCTCAGTGTTAGTTGTAAGAAACGCGTTGCGGTAATATAAATCCGCACGTAGTTTTAGTCTAAATATATAATCGGTGGAGTTAGCATGTGTTTGATTTGCCGTATGTTTTTGATTTTCACGTTTTTTGGGGTAACGGTCGACTATATGTCCCTCCCGACAACTGCGAACCATCACTGCCATTAGTCTTGAGAGTAAAGTTAAGTAAGATAGTTAAGACAAAGGCCGGTAACTGACCAAACGGCATTTACCGATATATAGAAGTGTAATTTGAGGCTAATTCGCGAACAAAACGCGGCCTGTTTCAGTGAAGTTTTAATGTAACAGGTAATTATAGTAAATGTCCTAGTTCAGTAAGTGTAGATAGTTGCGCGGCTAATTTGCGTTGCTTGTAGGGTATTTGACTTATCTGACGTAATTATTTGACAAAGCTCTCGTGGATGGATTTGGAGTGCTTGGAAAGAACCGGTGACGACTAGAGACGTATCTTCGATTTCAAACTTTTCTCTGGCTTACCTTTAACGTCTGGGTAGAGGAATAATATTATCAGTCAAGTACCCTAATCTGACGTCAGGGCAGTAAAGAAGGCTTTTGGCAGAGGAAAGGCGCGACAATCAGCCACAAATCGTGATCAACTGGATTTCTTTATTGTCTCACGTCATAGATGATAATTAATACATTCAATATTCACTTTCACGACGTAAATGAACTCATTAAGAGTTATTATTTAGTGTTATTATACAAATTAATCGTAATTAATTATAGTTATTTGTCATGTTTATATTAGGCAAGTAGAATATTGATTTAAGGAGAAAATATAAGTTATAATATAACAATTGTTTCTTATCACTTCTGTATCCATATTGATAAAATTGTGGTTTTTCAATTATTATGTCAATACAATTGTAAGTTTAATATTCGATTAGACAGAATGGTCCTCCGAACGATAAATGTATCGTTTATCAATATTTTAGTGGACGTAAAGTTCTAGTAAGTTTTCAATGTAATAATCTGTCGACATTTAAAATAAAGTATATATACCTAATAAGTACTGCGAGAGCTTCGACGCGTTAGAGTGACTCTAAAGCGTCGTGGTATCAAGCGGGAATGTTTTATTTACTCTCCTACTTCTCTCTCCACTCTATTTTTAATGGTAGTTTTTTTTTTCACCGTTTCTACTTCAGTAGGATTCTGTCTTAAAAAAGTTTTCATATCTTTAATCTAGTAGATGGACCATTGACAAAATTATGATTGATTACGTCAAAAAAATAAAGATATCTAAATTGATTTCTTAAAATGAGGAACATACCTTAATAACTTACCAATGGCAAAGTATACATGCAATTTGGGAGTATGGCTGCTTTTAATAATAGTTTAACAAACGACATCATCATCATTGTAACGGTCCTTTATAACTAAGCTGCCGAACATAGGCCTCCCCCACGGACGGACTACCACTAAAAACGTTTCTAAGCCACCTGTATTTTTTATAAAATGAGGCTGACAAACGAGCACACAGTCCACCTGATGTAAGTGGATGTTGTTATATCCATGATTGAATTAAAAATGCAGATGCATTGTCACCCTGATGACTAGGACTGGAAAGCTTCGTTTCCACAAAAAAAGGTAGTCCGATTTTCTACACTCACCATACGAAAAACAGTTGCATTATGTTGATATGACGCTGGCCCAAAGACTTCCAGCGTCTCTTACCAGAACGTCTCTCCATCTCGAGTGGCTGGTGTACTCTTCCCTTACCGCTATGAGGCTGCCATTCGAGAATCAGGCAGGCCAATTGCCATTTAATTTATTGAAAATAAAACTTACAAACGTATAAGCAAATAAAGGCTTATTTCGCCCTAAATTTAGTACGGCTTTGATGCAGTTTCATGCTGGCACTAGACAATTGTCCTACTCCAAACAAACTGCGGCTTCAGTACCTACGATAATTTTTTTTTATAGGATAGGGTGACAAACGAGCAAACAGTCCACCTGATGGTAAGTGGTTGGTGAAACCCATAGACATCTACATCCATCCTCTATAAAGAATCAAAATGCAGAGGCGTTGTCACCCGTGAGGACTAAGATGGAATGCCTCTTGTCCAGTAAAACGGGTCTCCGGTTCTCTACACTCACCATACGAAACACAGCTGCGTTAAGCTGCTATTTTACGATGGTATTCTGTGAGAGCGTGGTCCTTCCCCGGTCGAGCCGACCCATTCGTGCTACAACTATACTATTAATATAGCTGCAGCATGGCTCTACCAAGTAATGGAATGTAATGCGGTAGATGGAAGCTATACGCGGTAGAAAATACTATAAAGGGAAAAATTATCTTGTAATGAAAACAAAGGATTTTAATACAAACTATGGCAAATATCATCCCTCTATGCGGGAGGCCTATGATCAGCAATGGACTTTTGATAGGGTGTTAGGTTAACGGTAAATAAAGCAGGACTCCACAGAACTTTTTTAAAATTTTAATTTTTTAAAATTTTAATTTTTTAAAATTTTAATTTTTTAAAATTTTAACGGTGGTAGAGCCCTGCAGCAGTTTTTTGCTGTTGCACGTTTGGGCCGGCTCGAGCCGGGTTGGTACCACGACCTCACAGAATACCGGCGTGAAGTAGAGGCTCTGCTTCTGCGTTTCGTCTGGTGAGTGCAGGTGGCCGGAGGCCCAATTCCCCCCCCCCCCCCCCCATCAACATGGTAGCGGAATTAGACAATAGACTACCCCAGGAGGGTACCAGTACCCCTGGAGAATCCCTCGCTGAGCATCCACGACCATGTTATTCCAATCCTGAGCGTGGGTGCTCAGGCTGCCCCGCGTATTCTGGGGGGGGCAAAATTCCGCTCAAAAACAAAACTGCTCGGGGCAAGCTGAGCAACAATACCAAGGCGACCCCTGCCACGCTATCCGTGAATTTCTGCAACATCAGGGGACTTCACTGTAACCTAAACGCCGTCCACTACCATCTCGAGACGGCGAAGCCGGCCTTGCTCTTTTTGACCGAGACGCAGGTTTCCTCTCCGACTGATATTTCGTATCTCTCCTGCCCGGGGTACAAATTGGAGCACTCCTTTGTGCCTCGGGCTGGAGTTTGCGTGTATGTTAGAGAGGACATCTGTTCTCGACGCCTCGGCAGTCTTGAAGGTTCGGACCTGTCCATCCTTTGGCTACGCGTAGACAGCGACGACCATCCGCGCGTCTACGGGTGCCTCTATAGGTCCCATAGCGGTAATGCCGAAACAGACCGACTCATCGACCACGTCCAAATGGCTACAGATTCCTTGCTACAACAGGTCCCATCCGCAGAGATCGTGATCCTTGGCGATTTTAACGCCCACCATGCCGAATGGCTCGGTTCACGTTTAACCGATCATGCGGGGAGATCTGTTTATGACTTTGCCTTGGCATATGGTCTGACACAACTGGTTACTTCGCCTACGCGGATTCCAGATGTGGAGGATCATACACCTTCCCTGTTGGACCTTCTGCTGACCTCTCATCCGGACGGATATCAGGTTTCCGTCGATGCCCCTCTCGGCTCTTCGGACCATTGTCTGATCCGGAGTATGGTGCCACTCACGCTCCCTTCGCGGTTGCGTTCTGCAGGTTGCCGCCGTGTTTGGCATTACAGGTCGGCGGATTGGGACGGAATGCGGTCTTTCTTTGCATCCTACCCATGGGGGCGGGTTTGCTTCTCGCCGGATGATCCCAGTGCTGTTGCTGACTCTGTCACTGATGTGGTGCTACAGGGAATGGAACTATTTATTCCATCATCTGTGGTACCCATCGGAGGCAGATCTCAGCCTTGGTTTGGTCGCTCCTGTAAGACTGCATTGCGCAGTAAGCAGGAGTGTTATCAAGCCTGGGCTGCAGCTTTGGTGACTCGGGATGTAAACACCAGCACACTTAAAAAGAAGTATAACTTCGCCTCCAGGTCCTTCAAAAGAGTTATTGCCAAGGCAAAGTCAGAGCACATAGGCAGAATTGGCGAGAAACTAGTTCGCCTTCCTTCGGGAACCCGTGCATTCTGGTCTCTCGCCAAGGCTGTCCAAGGGAATTTCTGTAAGCCATCACTACCATCTCTGCACAGGGAGGATGACTCACTGGCCCATGACGCAAAAGACAAAGCCGACCTTTTAGGCTCCCTTTTTGCGTCCAACTCGACTCTTGATGACGGGGGGAAAACACCGCCGACCATCCCGCGGTGTGAGTGCTCCATGCCGGATGTGCTGTTCTCACAGCGCTCGGTTCGCAAAGCACTGCTCTCCCTGGACATCCAGAAGTCGAGTGGGCCTGACGGAATCCCCCCAATTGTGCTGAGGACGTGTGCTCCGGAGTTGGCACCGGCCCTAACGCGTCTTTTCCGGGACTCCTACTCCCAAGGCGTAGTCCCGAATTCATGGAAGACAGCTTTTGTCCACCCGATCCCTAAAAAAGGCGACCGCTCAGACCCGTCCAACTATAGGCCTATCGCGATCACCTCCTTGTTCTCCAAAATAATGGAATCCATTATTAACTGCCAGCTCATCCGGTACCTTGAGGATCACCAGCTGATTAGTGACCGCCAATACGGTTTTCGTCGGTGTCGATCAGCTGGTGATCTTCTTGTCTACCTGACCCATAGATGGGCGGAGGCAGTAGAGTCCAAGGGGGAGGCGTTGGCCGTTAGTCTGGACATTGCGAAGGCCTTTGATCGGGTTTGGCACAAAGCGCTTCTTTCAAAGCTGCCTTCCTATGGGCTTCCCGAGAAATTGTGCAATTGGATCACCAGCTTTCTTGCAGATCGGAGCATCAAGGTCGTTGTAGACGGTGCATGTTCTGACTACAAGCCTATTAACGCTGGTGTTCCACAAGGCTGTGTGCTATCACCAACGCTGTTTCTTCTGCATATCAATGATATGTTGCTAACTGGTAACATTCATTGCTATGCGGATGACAGCACTAGTGATGCTCTATACACCGGCCGGGCCAATATTTCTCGGGAAAACGTCGCCGAGTACCGGAACAAACTTGTGTCTGAAGTCGAGTCTTTGCTGGACAAAGTCTCGGATTGGGGGCGACTAAATCTAGTCCAGTTTAATCCTCAGAAGACACAAGTTTGCGCGTTTACCGCTAAAAAGAACCCCTTTGTCGTATCTCCTCAGTTTCAAGGCACTCCCCTTCTTGCCTCAGCCAGTATCGGTATCCTCGGAGTCGACATATCGAGTGACGTGCAGTTTCGTGGTCACTTGGAAGAGAAGGCCAAATTGGCCTCTAAAAAGCTTGGCGTGCTCAGCAGAGCGGGACAGTATTTCATGCCGGCACACCGCCTGCAACTTTACAAGGCGCAGGTTCGGCCTCACATGGAATACTGTTCCCATCTCTGGGCAGGGGCTCCCCAGTGCCAGCTCCTTCCACTTGACCGCATCCAGCGCAGAGCGGCTCGAATCGTCGACGACCGAGCCCTTTCCGATCGGCTCGATTCATTGGCACTGCGAAGAGATGTTGCATCTCTTTGCATTTTCTTTCGCATCTACCATGGGGAGTGCTCTGAGGAATTGTTCGGATTAATCCCAGCCGCCAAATTTCACGAACGCACATCGCGGCAGAACTCCCGATACCATCCACACCATCTGGATGATTGGCGGTCCACCACTGTGCGATTTAGAAGATGTTTTCTTCCTCGCACAACCTCCTTGTGGAATAGTTTACCACCAGGGATTTTTCCGGACCGATACGACTTAGGGACCTTCAAGAAAAGAGCCTACTCCTTTTTAAAAGGCCGGCAACGCATCTGCAATTCCCCTGGTGTTGCGGTTGTTCATGGGCGGCGGTAGTCACTTACCATCAGGTGAGCCGCATGCTCGTTTGCCCCCTCTCCTATAAAAAAAAAAAAAAAAAAAAACTAAAAATATTAAAATTATTCCACATTGTGAAGATGGTGCTGAGAACTGCGATACACATTACATAAGAATAATTAAATCCCCGACTACAGAATATGAAATTATTTTATTCTTCTTAGTTCTTCGTAGTTCGTTACTTACACTTAGTCGGCTTATTACTTTTTGAAAGTTATTTATGACCCTTTTTAGTGGAATAATCAATATTACAATTTGAATGTCGTCTCAATGGGCATCCATGACTTTTTTGCCACGAGGGCGGCGCCACTTAAAAGTGAGATATTGACAGATTTCATAGCGGGTAAGTTAATTTGTTAGGAATGTTTCTTGCTGTATTATTACCTATACTTTATATTAATAAGAACAAAGATAAATAAAGCAAAAGATGTTCATAAAGGTAGAAAAATTTAAAAAAAGGTGCAAAAAGTAAAAAGCAAACCACCGACTCAGTGTATTAATATAATACTCTAGAAAGGGATAAAGTTTTATTAATTCAAATTGTTTATTGCATGTTACATTACAAATTTAAGATGTTACATTTGATAGGTATACATGTGACGCCCTGCAAGGGCATAGCAATACTAAAGGACTAACTATTTTTGTATAATCTAACTTTGAAAAATAAATTATAAAGTATCATTTAAAAACTAACTTGTCAATTAAATGGCATTGTGTAACAAAAAACTTTATCTCAGTGTCAACTAGCGACATCTAGTGAGCACAAAATTATTAGCCCTCATTGTTACATTATAAACTTCTTACCCTATTTTGCCCTTTTCAGGAGGAGCCTTTTTGTCTCCTCTGCTTAAATTTATATGGAGCATCTTTACGGATCAAATGATAAAAGTGAAAAGAAAGAAGAAAAAAGATATCAAAATCTGTACACATTTCACATTGATAGAGATACCCTAAACCTAAACTATTTCTGATAGAAAACTGAGAAAGTCAGTTTGATATATGCACTTTGTGCTACATTTATATAAAATTCAGTCAACATTAGCTTGTCTTATTGAATTTTGTTGAGATAAGTAGGTACCTATGTTTGTTCAAAAAACATTTCTGATTGATACTCGTAAGCATCTGGCGCGCACGTGTTAGTTTTATTAACGTTTTTGCATCGTATTCTTTGCATGTTTGAAGTCGTATGTGCCATATCACCGCATTGCGTTCAGTCGAAGGCTCGGGCGGATCGGACCTCGGGGACGAAAGTTGCTGATTATGTGCATTATATTTGTGCAACAATGTGGACAAGCGAAATATTATTGCGAAAAAATATCGATATATCAATATTTTCTCGTAAAATTATCAATATTTTATCGTCGATATTTTTAATCGCGATAAGTATGTCTATATTCGATACTTATTTAAGAGTATCGAATTAGTATCAATTTCGATTTATGTTTTAAAACACAAAACAATACGCAACAAAAGCATTCATTTGCTGTTATCGTTTCTTTTTTCGTCGTCAAAACGTCCACTAATAAAATTTTGGCCCATATTCTACTATATTCTATTATCCAGAACATGATGATATATCGATATTTATCAAGCGATAATTCTATCAATATACTGTTTAAAAATATCGATATATTTTGCACGCCTCATAACGCAAAGCGTTATTAAGTGTGTATTAGACCCCTATTACACTACACCGAATCAGGGCTTTGAATTAAGGGTGGGATTCGGGACGTCAGATTTTACGCCTTTACTCGGTCATAGGGATAGGCAAAAGAATCTTTATTATTGTAATGTGATCGACTTGGTATTTCTATTTTTTAGTACATTTTGAATATTTTAAGCAGTCATAATAAATTTAAAGAACATATTAAGTCTTTACTATATAGTATACCTCAAAACTTGAAAACGAGACTGTACACCCAGTGCGTGTTGCCAGTGATGACATACGGAACTGAGACGTGGTCCTTCACTGCTGGCCGGATGAGGAAGCTCAAGGTCGCTCAGCGAGCTATGGAGAGGGCTATGCTCGGAGTTTCTCTGCGTGATAAACTCAGAAATGAGGATATCCGCAGTAGAACTAGAGTGACCGACATAGCCCAACGGATTAGTAAGCTGAAGTGGCAATGGGCCGGCCATATAGCTCGAAGAACCGACAACCGATGGGGAAGAAAGGTTCTCGAGTGGCAGCCTCGTACCGGCAGGCGAAGTGTAGGGCGTCCCCCCACTAGATGGAGTGACGACCTGGTAAGATATGCAGGAAGTCGATGGATGCAGGTGGCTCAGGACCGTGCTTTGTGGCATCCTTTGGGGGAGGAGGGGAGGATTCACTGCTGGCCGGATGAGGAAGCTCAAGGTCGCTCAGCGAGCTATGGAGAGGGCTATGCTCGGAGTTTCTCTGCGTGATAAACTCAGAAATGAGGATATCCGCAGTAGAACCAGAGTGACCGACATAGCCCAACGGATTAGTAAGCTGAAGTGGCAATGGGCCGGCCATATAGCTCGAAGAACCGACAACCGATGGGGAAGAAAGGTTCTCGAGTGGCAGCCTCGTACCGGCAGGCGAAGTGTAGGGCGTCCCCCCACTAGATGGAGTGACGACCTGGTAAGATGTGCAGGAAGTCGATGGATGCAGGTGGCCCAGGACCGTGCTTTGTGGCATTCTTTGGGGGAGGCCTATGTTCAGCAGTGGACTTGTGAAGGGCTGTAATGATGATGATGATGATGATTGGGGGAGGCCTATGTTCAGCAGTGGACTTGTGAAGGGCTGTAATGATGATGATAATACTTAATATTTTAATGAATGTATTTTAACCTAATGCTAATTAAGGCATTTTAATTCTCAATATTTTATATTTATGATATTTTTAAATGACTTTATAGTGAATTTAATTATTATTTATTAATAATAATAATAATAAGTCGCCGTCAAAATGATTCCAAACATCTCCAACGCATCTCGCTTTATGGTATTGACGGGTGGTGACATGAACCAAAGACGTATTAAAAAAGATAGGCAGGTTTCACACTAACATTATTGTATTTTAAAGTGGCGCAGGTAGTACTATATCTACGTACAGTTATTTATATGACACGTTGCGCTAACAAAAAGAGACAAATTATACGGCATAGCTATCGTTATAAAAAGATGAATATACATCATTAGTTGCGTATTGATTGCTGCCGAGCGCTCATTGGCGCGAGCGCGTGTCATACCGATATGCCAAATGAACACACTAGCTAGCGTCAAAGTTTATACTAGCGGTTAGTGCTGAAATAATAAAACCAATTATGAACAAAACATCTAAATTCAAAATATTAATGAGACGTTTTTCTTGTCTCTAATAGTTGCCGTGTAATTTGTGCACCACTTAAAAACAGGAAGGCATTTTAGCCACGAATAACTAGAAGATTTACGCGCTGTAGCGAAGGTATAGTCACGACGCGAGAGTGTGCCTGACTGAATGCGAGTCGGGCAATTACCTGACTTTCGTATTGCCATTTTAGAGCGAGTGTGACGTATTTATACTTTTAAAAACATCTTAGACATGAACATATGAAATTCTGTTTCTGCTTTAGTTTTATCACAGAATAAATAATAGTACAAGAACAGAAGGATCACTCTCAGATAGCAAACTTGCAAGTTTAAACCTATTTACAACGTCGCTAATGTTCATAATACTTTGCAACCTCGGAAGCAAAATATATAATATACACACACAATATACAGGCAAATAACCGTTCATCCGTCAAAATAAAAATTTCAAGAACCATAAGCCGATAAAACAATTTCCGTAACAAATTAACAATTACTTTTTAGAATTGTTCTTAAGCTATTGATCAAGTTAAAGCTCAAACAATATAATTATTAATTAAAATGAATAAAACAATTTCAATCCATTTTCAATATTTGTAAGCTTATGTGAATTAATTATCACAATAAAAATTAACTACTTACAATTTGACATCAAAAATGAAGTTACCGATTTTTGGTTGAAAAACCATTCGTCTGTTTGTTGATTCAAAACAAAAATTTTCGGGATTGAGTTATTTCTACTACTTAAATAAATCCTCTAACTTTAAAAGTTTAGACGTAATCTAACTTCGACATATTTTTTTCGAATATTTATTTTTCGGTGACATAAAATTCGTGATAATGATCGTCAATTTTTAACATACGGAATTTGACACTTTCGATAAGTTGGTTATTTCGGAAGCTCGTGGCTCTGACTTTGACAGCAAGCCAAAACATCGCTCATGAAGAACGATGTTTATGAATAATATATATCGATGTTTCAACAAATCGATGTATCGTTTGCATCCCTAGTCGCGCATCGAATAAGTGCTCTAACTGCCTTTAGTGTTATTACACTGCACGGTGGACAGTTACTGCCTTACTCTTATTGCACCTTTCTTATTAAGGGGCTACTCCATGCGAACGACCTTGAATATTTGGCCGGCGGCGCGCCGCTCGCTTCAATATATTGGTTATGAAATATGTAAGACGCCACCTATTGTAGGTACGAACTTAGTATTATTTTTTCAACATCAATAAACTAATTTATGGAAATACACACAGCGTACAACAATAAATGTATTTTAATTTTGTTATTCGGTATATTAGTTGCATTATATGAGAATTATGTATTTTCATATATTATCTAATTATGAAATTTTATAATTAATTATATATTAAAAATGAAGAATTGAAAATTGTGAGTTTAAAAGATACCTATTCACTATAGGTAAATAAATAGATAGCTCGCCTATTTGTACAAATATTTGGTGCAATAAAGAATAAATAAATAAATAGGATGTTTCACAGATGTGTTTTTGATTATTGTTAATTTTTACGTGTCACGTATTGAAAAGTAACATACCTACCTACTAATTTTTGAACTGAGCACCTTGCAACTTAGCCTGCTTATTACTTATGCTGGCAGTCATTATCCTCACCCCAATGATTGATGAGGATGAAAATCAATTTTATTTCTACATACGTAATTATATTTATTTATACATAAGGGTAACTTTAATAAAGGTAATACAAAAATCAACAAGAAGTATAAGGGTTCAATCTTTCAATTTCAATTGTAAAAAAACGTTACCCCAACACTAGGATTTTCTCCTGTGTCGTGGAGGCAGTTTACAAACATAAATTGCACAAGGACAAACATCCAGACCCGGAACAATTATTTATAGGCCATACAAATACTTGTTCCGTGCGGGATTCGAACCCGCGGCCACCAGCGCAACAACTGATTGCAAAGCCACTGCGCCACGGAGCCGTCGCCGGGTCATAGCTAAAGTAACCATACGTCCCGTTTTGAACGAGACTGTCCCTTTTCTCGGTCACCTGACCCATTGTCCCCAATCAAAGCTCCGGGACACAAAATTGTCCCGTAACTCGTTGGACGGAAGTATTCAAAGTCAACAATCTTCAACATATTTTTTTTAATCGAATATATTTCATGTCTACCTGGTACAAATGCTCCGGTAGAAAGAGTATTTTTTTATTTTAAATAAATTGTGGACGTCTGAAAGAAACACTTACAGTTCCAATACTAAAGGCGATGTTGTTAACAAAGATTACAATAAAAAAACTTGAGCAGAATTTATTCTTATTTAAAATCATCACCAACTTTATTAAAGCAAATTTAATCCACTTACAAATGTAATTAATAATTAAAAAAAATATGTTGCATTTAATAATTACCGAATATAATTTTATAGTGAACACTAATTGTATAAAGTTATAGTTTTTAGAGTATAAATATACCCATGTCCTGTTTTGAGTTAAAAAATAAATGGTCAGTTTAGTCTTTTTAGTTAAATTTAGTTTTAAAAATTTTTAGTTTATAGTATAAAGTAGGTATATTAGTACCTACTTAGATACTTTTTACCGAATTATAAGTATAAAACACCTTATGTACTCAATTATTTTTTGAAAAAGAAGAAAAAAAACGCAATAAATAATATACTATATTTTAGCAAAAAACTATAACTTAGTAATACTAATTATAATTATAACTTAGAACATAAATGAAAAACTCATAACTGATTTTTTGGCCAGACCCAGGGTTCGAACTCGAGACCTCATGATCAGCAGTCGCACTACTACAACCACTAGACCAACGAGGCAGTACTATACCTAACAAGATATTGTGGTTGGGTATTAGGATTATTTTAACTGTATACTATACTGATAATATTGAATTAGCCTTTTATAGTGTAAATTATAATATTTGTCGAAATGTTAATTATGGATTCGAACCTTACATGCTAATGGTGCTTCATTTTTTTTATTGGATTCACTTCAAAAAAAAATACACGCAAAAAGCTTCTTCGCGCAGTAAAAAAAAATAGCAAATATATGTATAACTAATAGGAAAAATTATACCCAAAACAAACAAATAATATTACCTATAAATAACCTAATAAGTAATAATATTATCGACTGATATGACGTGGGCGTATGCGCTGGCCGACGCTCTAACGACACGAGCTTCACAGCTCAGCGCTCACTAACTTCAGCAAGCCCGTGGACAGTGAATACGCCAAATTTTAAAATAATTTCTTAATAAAATCAAATTTTGGCCTTTTGAAAAAAAATTTATAATAGAAATGTTAATTAATAAATTGCCTATCCATTGGTGTAAATCGCAAAATAAAATAATACTTACTTTACGAGGAGATGCATGTTATCAATAATAATTTCACATTTATGTGGTTTCGTTGTAAGGAGATTATATTAATATTTATTCCTTTAAAAAAAATTGGATATAGCTTTTATGAAATCAAGATTATGTAGAAATATAATGTGTTTTTTATTTGTTGATATATCTTTTAAATAAAAAGTAGATAGCTCCTAAAAACCGCACAAATAACGACTAGCGCGACATATTTGCTCAACCTGCGCCTTAAGGGCTTAGGGACCCTGATTCAGTGTAGTGTAATAGGGATCTCTCGACACGTCAAGGTGAAGCAATTTTGTGGTCTTAAAATGCCTCTTTCATAACCATATTGCACTTATACGATTATATGAGTAGCCGTATATCAAGAAAACACTCCAACTATATACTTTGATAAAAACTGTTTGAAAAAAGTGTATGTGGTCACGATAACTCCCGAAAAAAACGAATATATAATTAGCTTCATAATTACATCAGTTGGTTCTCCACTTCATATTAATAGCCTAAGTAGTACGCGTCTTTTGTTAATAAAATAATTTTCAAGTTTTATAAATTTTATTGCTATTAATAATTTAAAGGCGCTTTCATATTTTTTTAGCCCTTTATGGACAAAGGACAAATTTACCATACAACCTATTTCGATTTTATACTTTTTGTAATAGATTTATTTTGGTAATTTATTTTTTCTTCAAAACTAAATGAAGACGCTCATGAGGCGTGGATTTTCCAAACTATTTTCACTTGCCCATACTTACCCCAGGGTAAAGTTGGACTTAAAAAAATACCTATATTTTTATGAGTGTTCATGGGATACAGCCCTAGAGCAGCACGGGCCACCGGCAGACTAAGGCCCGCCACATACATGCGGAATTCCGCTTCGGAATTCCATTTCGGAATTCCGAATGGGTCAGCCACGCACATACGGGATCGCGTTTTGCCCGCATAATTTCGAACGGAAGACTACTTACCGTACGTGTGTGATGGGTCATAGATTTTATATGGACTTGCTGCGTTCGGAATTTCGAAACGAAATATCGAAACGGAATTCCGTATGTATGTGACAGGCCTCAGTTTTGGTTAATATTTAACTAGTGAGAGCTTCCCACTTTTAATGTTTTTTAGTTGATGCTTAATAATTTTTTCTTCAATGCCAGTTTTTTAAGGACCATCTTTTCTTCTTTATCTATTAAAGATTTTTCATCCAGACTGGAAAATTTCTTTTAACTCAGAATTTTTTTTTAAGAAAAGAGAGCCTTGGAGCCTTTTAATTTCTTGGGGCAAGTGCAATGGCGGGAATTGAACTATAAAAAATAGGTACATATTTGATAAATATGTACCTATTTACTTTAATCAAACATATCGCACCTTTAAATACGTGAAGAAGGCATAGCAAATCGAGAGCATTTTGTTATATTCTGAAAGTCATCTAACACACATATTTCTGCCCGAAATTCGTCTGGCGGGACGGTCATATCAACTTAATAAAGAGCATGGGTAATCTTCACTCATCGTCCACATTTTGCATTATTTCTTCACTTACAATTAGAGGCACAATTTTCATTAGAGGGAACAAAGTATTTACTTTGTTTCTGTATGATTCTGATAAAGCATTGGCAGGAAATGTGAAAAGTCGTATGAATTGCGTACAATTTTTATGTTTCGATCGTACATGCATACATCTCTTAAAAATCGTATGAATACGATTTAAATCGTACATCTGGCAACACTGCTACTGACTCACACAATAAGGGCTAATAATTTTCTTATATACTTTTTTTATATTTTTTTACTTTTATTGATATCTGTGGTTTGGTTTACTTATTCTTAATGTTATTTATATAAAATATAGCTTTAAGTACAGATAGAAACATTAACTTTTACATTTTCCGAACATATTAACTTCCCCTACGAAATCTGTCAAATATTATACCTCACTTTTAATTGGCTCCGTCCTGGTGGCAGAAAAAGTCTTGTATGCCCTCATTCAGTCACATGGGTTCTATATGTATATATGCTAAGTGTAGTTACATCACTCCCCCCCAAAAAAAGTATTTTGATTTTTTAAGATACAAATACAATAATTTTGAATATACAAACAATTAGGTATAGACAGAACCGGATGACAACGTAATGCTTATCGCTTGTAACGCACAAACATTTGGTATCATATTATGTCTCAACACTGGGAATTACATTTGAAGCGTCAGCAGTCATCGACGCTCGACCTACATGCAGTTAACATTAACAACGAGTTGCAAATGCTAAAAATTAAAACATAGGTATATTCATTGAGTTATATGTACTACGTACTAGAGAAGCCATTCCAAACAAAAATTGTGTCCTACTCTATTTCTTGGCGCATGCGCGGGAGTAGTAGTCGAACATGCGCGAAGACTTTAATTTAATATAAAATAAGATATTAATATAAAATAAATATAAGAATTTAATATAAAATATCTTAATTTAATCTAAACAAACATATTTCTAAATAAAATGTAATAATAATTATTTTATGGAATTCACAAATCTTCAATTTATGCAATATTTAGTTTGCACTACAATTCAGTTGAACATAGTCAATGTTCGGAATCACAAATTATAAAGTTGTATGTACAAAACAGATAGGACAGTACGTCGCCGTAGCGAGTTTGGAGGGCAAGCTTTTTACCGCTAGATGGCTACCTTGTTAGTGTTGGGTGTATAGATTATCCATGATATCGATAGATTTTGCAGCGATAGGGATGTGCATTGAGTTTATCGATTACTTTTATTTTCATTATTCTTTATTTGTTATATTAATAAGGGAAAGGAATTTAAAAAAAAAAACATATTTACAAGTTTCATTTTTTATATTTTCTTTGTTTTAACCATTTTATATGTGCTATGTGGGGATTCCACCACATTATTACACACACCTCATATATACACACAGAAACACAATAACACTTACACATAAACACATACAACACCTACAATAAACGTAATTAATTATATATTATGTAACCATTATAGAACAAGCATTTAACACATTGGGACCATTGTGGATCGACCTTTTTCTAGACAGAGCGGCCGGGGATTGAATCGCGGCGCTCGCGCATATCCTGTTATACTTGTATCAAGTTAGTTACCTGCTGATCGCCTCTGCGACTAGACCCTTGTAACACCTTTGCGCCCGCGGCTAACCACGTACAGTTTATTTGTTAATGCTATCTCTTACTTTCTTGCTTGTGCTATTCTTTGTAACTATGATTGTGCTCGCTTCCCTTCAGACTCTTTATTGTAGTGTGCTTTGTGTCGTGGACTATTAAAAGACTGTGAACGTTAATATAAACTGTTTTCTTCACTGAACCTACGACGCCTCACGCCATTTTGACCTACAACTGGTGACCCCTGCAGAAGACGCTACAGGTACAATGAGTAGTGGTAGTGAATCGCCAGAAACGGCATCAGAACAAAATGTTACCACGCGCCCATGTACAAGGCGCAAGCACAGATCGCACGTCGACCTTACATCAGACGTTAATCGAGTTAGCGTACGTATACCGCCATTTTGGCCGGACGATCCTGAATTATGGTTTGCGCAAATAGAGGGTCAATTCACAATTTCAAACATATTATCGGATACCACAAAATTTTATTATGTGACGAGTAATTTAGATCCTCAATATTCTAAAGAAGTAAAAGATATTATTGTTTCTCCGCCTTCTAGTAACAAATACGAGAAACTTAAAGACCAACTGATTAAACGCTTGTCAGCATCGCGTGAAAGGAAGATTCAGCAGTTACTCATGCACGAGGAATTGGGAAATCAGAAACCTTCCCAATTCTTACGACACCTGCAGAGCTTGGCAGGTCCCTCGGTACCCGAGGACTTTATACAGAGCATATGGAGCAGCCGACTTCCCAACAACATCCAAACGCTGATTGTGTCGCAACCAACCAGCTCATTGGACGTTTTAGCCGATCTAGCAGACAGAATATATGATATAGTATCTCCAACACTTCAAGTCGCAACAACCTCACGTACTACATCGACACCTGGTACCAGTACGCAGTCTATGGAGAATGAAATAGCGGAGCTGAAAGCAGCTGTTAAGAACCTTACCATGCAATTGAGCAGACGTTCCAGACCATGTGACCGTTCTAGCATCCGCAATCGCAGACGTTCAACTTCCCGATCTGACTCCAGCTACAGAAGATACCCAACCTGTTGGTATCACTCGAAATATGGAGATAAGGCCAACCGGTGCATCAAACCCTGCGATTTTGGAAAATCGGGAAACGCTCGAAGCAGTCGGTGATGGCGACTGACGACTGCTTAACTTCTTCGGGTCGCCTCTTCGTTACTGACCGAAACTCCAAGAGCCAATTCCTTGTGGACACTGGAAGTGACGTGTGTGTGTTTCCGCGTACGGCACTTCGCGAACGACGGAGTAAGACATCTTATCAATTATTAGCAGCTAATGGTAGTGCAATTGATACATACGGGTATTTACAATTTAATTTAAATTTAAATTTACGACGTAATTTTCCATGGAATTTTATTGTTGCCGATGTAAATAAAGCCATAATAGGAGTAGATTTTCTTAGTCACTATAACCTAATTGTAGACGTTAAGAACAAACGATTAATTGATAATTTAACATCCTTGTCGACAATTGCTTTTATTGCTAAAAATGTAAATAATATTAATTCTGTTAAGGTTCCTATTGGCGACACACGATACCACACTATTTTAGCTAAATATCCAGAAATAACACGACCAGCAGGCACACCACACACCTCTGCACATAATACCGTACACTACATTCGCACTACGCCTGGACCTCCCATATCCTGCCCTCCTCGCAGGTTAGCTCCTGACAGGCTTGCAATAGCTAAGAAAGAATTTGAGCTGATGCTGAGCAACGGAACGGCACGTCCTTCTGAGAGCTCCTGGGCATCTCCTTTACATATGGCTCCCAAAAAAGGCAATGGGTGGCGCCCCTGCGGAGACTACAGGCTACTCAACGCACGCACCATACCAGATAAGTACCCAATCAGACACATTCATGATTTTTCGCACAACATATCAGGATGCACCGTATTCTCGACTATCGACCTTGTCAAAGCGTACAACCAGATCCCCGTCTTCGAGGAGGACATCCAGAAAACGGCAATCACCACACCGTTTGGTTTGTACGAGTTCCCATGCATGACCTTCGGACTCCGGAACTCCGCACAAACGTTCCAAAGGTTTGTAGATGAAATTACTAGAGGACTGGATTTCTGTTACTGTTACTTAGATGACTTCTTAGTATTTTCTGGAAGTGCTACTGAGCACGAACATCACCTCAATATTCTCTTTGGCCGAATGAAGCAGTACGGAGTACTGGTGAACACCTCTAAGTGTGTATTTGGTTCATCACAGGTACAGTTTCTGGGGTACCACATTTCAGCTGCAGGTACTAAGCCACTTGAGTCAAAAGTTCAAGCCATTAAAGAATTCCCTAAGCCCCGAACAGTCAAAGCGCTCAGACGTTATTTGGGCATGCTTAATTTCTATAGGCGGTTCTTACCAGAAGCCGCAAAAATTCAAGCACCCTTAAACGCCTTATTAACTGGTTCGGTGAAGGCTTCACAAGCTATAGACCTGACAGGCGATGCTCTAACAGCTTTTGAGCAGTCCAAGGACAGTCTTTGCAATGCTGCCCTATTAGCACATCCCGATTGCCAAGCCAAATTAGCTCTGGTAACGGATGCATCAGACTTAGCATTGGGTGCTGTACTGCAACAGTACAAAAATGATGCCTGGCAGCCATTAGCATTTTTTTCGCGAAAGCTTAGCCCAGCACAACAGAAGTACTCACCCTACGACCGTGAGTTGCTGGCTATATATGAAGGCATTAAGTATTTTCGCCACATGCTCGAGGCACGCCACTTCACAGTCTATACTGACCATAGGCCTTTATGTTATGCATTCCATGTAAGGAAAAGTAACTGTTCGCCGCGTCAGTATAGACATCTAGATTTTGTGTCTCAATTTACAAGCGACATTCAGCACATATCCGGCAAGGATAATATCGTTGCTGATACTCTGTCGCGCGTGGATGAAATACAGCAGCCGGTGGATTTTAAAGAGCTCGCAAAAACTCAGTCCACAGATTCTGAGCTATCACAGCTTCTAGGCGATGAATCATCACTTCGCATTATTAAAGTTAAAGAGCCCGACAGCAAAGTCGAAATTTTTTGCGACATAAGTCTAGGCATACCAAGACCTTTCGTTCCCAAAAGTTTTCGAAAAGCTATTTTTGACAGTCTACATTCTTTAAGTCACCCTGGTGCAAACGCTACTGCTAAGCTGGTAGCACAGCGATTCGTTTGGCCAGGAGTCAGAAAAGACTGCCGAGAATGGTCTCGTACGTGCTTAGCCTGCCAGCGCTCTAAGGTAAACCGCCATGTGTCAGCACCTTTAGGCACATACAATTTACCACGAGCCAGGTTTTCCTATGTGCATATCGATCTTATTGGTCCACTCCCATACTCGAATAATTTCCGCTACTGCTTAACAGCAGTTGACCGTTTCACGAGATGGGCAGAAGTTATGCCCATAGCGGATATTACAGCCGAAACTGTAGCGAAGGCACTCCTATCAGGTTGGATCGCCAGATTTGGTTGTCCAACGGACATAGTGACGGACCGTGGACGGCAGTTCGAATCCCATTTATTTAATTATCTATCGAAAATAATCGGATTCAAACACCGCAGAACCACAGCTTACCATCCCGCTTCTAATGGCCTAGTAGAAAGATTCCACCGACAGCTGAAGACAGCTATTACATGTCACGCTGATAGCAACTGGACGGAATCTTTACCTCTAGTACTATTGGGCATCAGAAGCGCATTTAAAGCTGATCTGCAGTGTTCCTCAGCAGAACTCGTCTACGGCGAGCCTTTAAGACTCCCAGGCGAATTTTTCGAAAGTACAGTAAGCACCACAACTGACATTACGGATTTTACTGCACGAATTCGTTCAGTTTGTGAGAAACTGCAGCCTCGTCCCGCATCACGGCATAATAAAAATAAAATATTTATATATAAGGATCTCGCTAATTTCAGCCACGTATTCCTTAGGGAAGACCGGCTGAAAAGCACCTTCCATCCTGCATATTCCGGTCCACATGAAGTGACCGAAAGAGGTGATAAAGTATTTAAGATCATCGTTAAAGGTAAGCAGATAACAGTTTCTATAGACCGTCTGAAACCGGCCTATATGCTGAACACCGATCCGCCTTGCGACGTCTCTCCTGATTGCAGCCCCAAAGTCATGGACGGCAGTTTAGAAAACCGGAAAACTACAAGGGCCGGTAGGCATGTCAGATTTCCTGATTTTTATCGACCGTAGGCACGGCCTCTGGGGGGGAGTGATGTGGGGATTCCACCACATTATTACACACACCTCATATATACACACAGAAACACAATAACACTTACACATAAACACATACAACACCTACAATAAACGTAATTAATTATATATTATGTAACCATTATAGAACAAGCATTTAACACATTGGGACCATTGTGGATCGACCTTTTTCTAGACAGAGCGGCCGGGGATTGAATCGCGGCGCTCGCGCATATCCTGTTATACTTGTATCAAGTTAGTTACCTGCTGTAGTGTTGCCAATTTAGCATATTATATGCTAAATTTGACATATTTTCTTCTTGTTTAGCATATTTTTTTTGCTTTTAGCATATAGCATATTATTTCAGCATATTCTTATAAAACATGAAAAGAATGTAAATTACAATCTTTCTTGAAATAAAATTTGATATCGATACCTACCTCAATCAATTTCCCACTTCACTACTAGTGATTCACTAGCATGGCAACCCTTTTTTGAAGCGAATATAATATTCTCTGTGCTACGGGATTCCCCTTAGACATAGAGAATGGACTGAGCCCTTATTCAGGTATAAAGTAAATATGGACGAAGTACAAGAGAGACAAAGCGAATGTGCCGCCAGTTATTGTCTCTTTCTACGCCTTACCTGCGCCTTGCAGAAAATACACATGTATTGGCCGCGTATTCACTTTGTCTCTTTCTAGAGAGTGGTCAGTTTTGTGAGGGTGATGTCTATGGGATAGAATTCCCTTACTATTATCCATTCCCCAGCGCCTACGTCGCTTTCTGTCCACATCCACATCCACAACAAAAAACATTGTTTATTGTTGTGGATGTGGACTCACTCATATCGTCGTCTCGTCTTATCCGTGTTTTCGTGTTCCTTTTTTATAATTTGATATTTTTATTATGGTGCCTAAGTATAGTCAACATTACCGGGCAGACTGGGAGAAAATGGCAGACTTTAAAGAGTGGTTGCAGCCCGTTGAAAACGATACTTCGAAAGCGTACTGTAAGTATTGTAAATGCGAAATGATTGCAAAATTGTCTGTTTTGAGGCTACATATTTCATCAGCAAAGCACAGAAAAGCAATAGAGCCAATGAAGAGTCAAAAAAAAATTAACTTCCCTAAAGTAAAAAAAGATCTGAATACCCAGAAAGCAGAATCTTCGCTGGCTTTGTTTGTTTGCGAGCACTGTGCAATTATGGCTGTAGATCATTTATCGGAACTATGCAAATACCGATTTGTCGACAGCAAATACAGCGACATCAAGTTACATCGAACCAAATGCACGAATATTATTAAAAATGTTTTGGCACCACACTTCATTCAAGAAATTGTGACAGATTTAGGAGATCAGGAGTACAGTCTCTTAATCGATGAATCGACAGATATATTGGTACTTAAAATGCTTGGTGTTTCGATAAGATATTTCAGCCGATCATTAAAAAAGATAATTTCCACATTCTTGGGATTAGTTGAGATTGAAGACGGAACTGCAGTCAGCATAGTGAACGGCATTAAAGGATTGTTGGCAGAAATAAAAATAAATTTAAAGAAATTGATCGGTATCGGCACGGATAACGCTTCGGTCATGACAGGAACTAACAGTGGAGTGCACGCATTGTTGAAAAATGCAACTGGTAATGACAATTTAGTGTTAGTCCGCTGCGTGTGTCATTCGTTACAGTTGGCTATGTCTCATGCTTCAGCAGAAACCCTACCAAGAAATGTTGAATTTCTTATAAGAGAAACCTATAACTGGTTTAGCCATTCATCAAACCGAAGACTCTTTTACAAAAACATGTTTCAAACGATCAACGGTGGCTCCGTTCCATTGACAATTCCACAGATGTGCAATACCCGATGGATATCAATTGAACCAGCGGTCTGCCGTATTCTTGATCAATG